ATTTTTGTTACAACATAAAGTACGTGGGTGTGTGTGTGTGATGACATTACAAACAGATAGTTAGTTAGGAATGACCTGGTTTTTACATGAATGGGTGTTGTTCTAATGAGGGCGGTTAATTTGAACTAGATTTAAGATTCTACGGAAGAAGCTACAATTATAGCGGATCTAAGGTGACACATAACCTACGATAAGCACTAAAAAAATGTTAAACGCAAATTAATTTTAATATAATGTCAAAAAAGAAGCATCAAATATAATAATAGTTTTTAGTTAAGCAGCGTATGTTCTGTAGGTACGTCTACATGTAATAATATCTCAACGTGTCTCATGTGTTTGGGTGAAACAAAACTAAAAACGGACGTTGCCCTCGGTTTTTTCCAGACAACGATCACGCCGATTCTTTATTATGATACGTAGGTATTGTTATGACCGTTTTAAAGTCTGTATAATGATGAATGTATAACAACATTCATATCTTTTCACTTTAATAGTGTTATTGTTATTAAAAACTTATAAATTAGAGATTGTGTGCTACAAAGTTTCAATGTTTCTGAGGATTTTAAGGTGTATTTGTGTACCACGGCAGTAATTACCAGAGTAACAAAATGACTGCCACGTGAAGTCATTGACTCCTAAATAGTGCGACCGTTGCTTCAGTAGCCACATTTTTTATGCCCCTGCCTTTATATTCCACCTGATATTTATTTTATAAACAATTTGTGAGGGTAAAGTACATAAAACATATTATTTAATATTGTAACAAAATACAATGAGTAATTAAAATAGTTTTCCTCGAGGATAATAAACATAAAAATAAGTTTGCATTGCCCCACACATGTTTCCGTTGAAGTAGGCGTTGAGTGTTAAAATATCCACGTGGTTGTTATTTTTCGGTATTCGAGTACTAACTCGAATCATTGTTAGAGCAATCATGATTAGAAACAATGGAAAGTAATAAAAAAACAACGACTACGATTTTGTTTTGATGCCATTTTGTTTTATACTTCTTATTTTGACCGGAATAATAATTGACATAACAACTTAATTTATCAATCTATTTATTAACTGCCTTGTTATTTATTAACTACCTGGTAATGATTCTGCATTTTGAGGTTATAACTCAATTTGTCATTAGTGTTTATTTCACTAACCGTAAACAATGTTGTATAATTTAAACAATGTAGGTATAGACGATTTCATTTTGACCTTCGAATAAAGATAACATACGTTCTGCGTCTAATTTTATTTTATAATCACCTGCCCCATTAATATGTTTATAAATAAATTAATTACATTTAGAATACAAACTGTGGTGATAATACAAGCCTGACAGGTTTGAAATACGTTAAATTTAAAAAGTTCTTATAAGAATTATTTTGTTTTGTTGCTACAATACCTACGTGTTATATATTTAAGTAATATTTAGATTGAGTATTGTAGAATTAGATTTCACATAATGATGTGAATCATGTTTCAGTTATAAGAATTCCTATATGACTCAAACAAGAGAAACTTAAAGACAGAAAATGACGTTAGTTGCGGTATCTTACGTGGATAGATAAGCGTCAATAACAGTGAGCGATAATAAATTATTATTATCATGAACATGCTTATTTTTATTTGTTAATCCGATGATTTTATCATAACAATAGGTAATCTCAATGTATCGATCGATATAATGTCAAAATTGTTTGATTTACTTTCACAATAATTTATGGTTGAAAACAAGTTGGTATTGTTTACGTAATCATTACAATTCTCCACATTTCGAAATACTGTATCTGTTCAATTAGGTAAGTAAGTAGGTATGTCCTCGATTTACGTCTGATTACATAAGCAAATAATATATAACTGTGTATAAACACAAACAACATTGCATTCAACTTGTTTTTGCATTTGTTTTGTGGAAATAAACCGTATCATTCCAATCTTTATCCATACGTTGTGATTAATCAATAATACCTAAGTACAAGCACAAACGTAACCTAATTCAGACAGCACTTTCTAGAATTTTTTGCGACAGCCAAGTCTTAATGTGTTTTCAAAATGAGCTTAAGTAACAATTTTTTGCTTTGCAATTTTTTATTCGAAAACAAATTAGAAGTTCACACGGAGAGTACAAGGATATTGCAACTACATTGTTCCATAAAACAATGAAAATAATAAAGGAAGTAACTGGAAACATAGCCTAGACATTTTCTAGATACCAACTTAACTTGTTCAGGCGGTCAAAATTGGAACTATTCATAATCGAATTCCTTCATGAAGACAGTAGCGACATTGCAAAGTGTACTTCAGTTAGGTTGAGCCTTGGTTCCATTTTTTAAGAGGTAGTTAAACGAAAACGTTGAGCTAACGCCATCTAGCGTGCAATAGCAGCACTAATAATGGCGTTGGTCGCGTTTAGTAATGTCAAACAATATTTTATGATTATCGTAAACATAGCTTTAAAATTTTGTGATAAATATAACAATTGACTATCTATATTAGTCGGAGTATTATTATGAATTTCTTTGTGTCATAATGTTGATCATCGATTATTCGGATGGTATTTTTTTTTAAATTAGTTCATTCATTTTTTTTAGTAGTTTTTTTTTTATAATTGCCTTTAGAATGAATAAATTGTAAATTATGAGTTTATAATGACGTGTGTAGAGGCACGGCACCTAAAATAAATCTCAAATTTAAGGTCGAACGCCTGAGCATTTAGTCACGGTTCGAACTGGTAGGAATAAAAACTGTAAAATTTAATTCCACAGGCACTTTGATAGCTACTTGCTATATTAATTCATAGTGATTTATTGTTATTCCATATTGCCTTTGGTTGTAATTAGACCATCGTTGATATAAGTAGGTACTATAGTCAGTTGAGGTAGTCTGACTGGAGATTAAAGCACCCGCTTCTCAAGTAAAAGAGTGCAGGTTCGAAACCTGGCAATTACCAATTTGGCATTTTCTGAGTTATATATAGGTACTTTTCATTTTTGACTTTTCAAATTTGACACCTCTGACGAACAGTAAAGGCAAAATTATTATGCAAACCTGAAAGTATAATTCCTAAATTATCAACCCGTCTTGAGCAAGCGTGGAGTCAATGCACAAAACTTCTCCGTGCGAGAAGAGGCCTTTGCTCAGCAGTGGGCTTACACATGTAAATTAAGGTGTACAGATTACAGATGTAAATTAAGGTAACAAAAAAAAAAAATTGTAAGTGAATGTATTAAATTCTCGGATTGGATTTCTATTTCTAGGTATATTGGATCGGTCGGCAAACAAGCTGTCTTGTCAATAACTATACTTGTGCAACCGTAGCACCTGAGGTGTTAGGAGCTTGGCTGGCAGGCCTTACTTTTATTTTATTTTTTTTAACGGGTGAAAATTATCGAGTGACTGCACCCGCCTGGGTGAGTCGGGAGTGTCAGACTCTTACTGACTAAAAACCACCCCGTTCCTTCTCCTGCACGTCGCGCCGGAGCCCCGGTTACCCGTTAGGTTCTCCGCGACAACCTACAGAACGTCTAGATATAGTATACGTTGATGTCTAGAAATAAGGTCTCATACTACCTAGGTACCTAGTATGAAAAAATAGTGCATTATGTTACATTATCTGTGCATAGTAAACTAACTGCCGTACTGAGAGACATTAATTAATGATTAGGTACTTAAAAACTGTTTCTCAGTAAGGATTTGGTTCCGAAAACAATTTCTTAAGGACTGTGTTAAGTAATCATGGAATGACTCTGAGTATGCGGTGGTTACGCAGGCATGACATTGAACGTGTGACCGCATCCTCCAAAAGCAAAAGAGAAAGTTGATTGTTTCCCGCGTCAAATTCCCGAGAATCGAGTTCCATAGAAATGAACCTAAGTAAGAAGGTTTTTATCTAAACAGTATAGCGGAAAAATAAAATAAGGAGTAATTCTTCGGAGTAATTATTAATAATAGGTAGTAATTTTTCAAAACAGATTTATTTTTTATACCTATACTAGCGGACCCGATAGACGTTGTCCTACATATCTACTTAAATGTATAAACAAAAATTCATTAAAATTAGTTCAGCCTAACCCGGACTCCGACTGCAGCGCTATCTATCCGGGCTGATTTGTGAATCTAAACCATCCAGGGCGCCACTTAAACGCGTACAGAAAAATTCATTTAAATTGGTCAAGCCGTTTAGGAGGAGTTCAATAACATACACACATACAGCAGAATTATACCTAATATATATGTATAAAGGATAAAGCAAAGGGCTTGTCTGTTTGTTTGAACGCGCTAATGGCGCACTGGAACGACCGGTCCGTCTTGAAAAATTTATTTTGTGGTGGACAGACCATTTATCCCGGAACGCTGTAGACTTTATAAAACATCATACTACGATCAGCAGCACCAGTGCAGCGGGTGAAGACTCGCGAGTGGAGCTAGTTGCTTATAATGCCAATGTTGTTACCAATCTATGACACAAGCAGAGCATGAAGTTAAAGCTGGTTGGATATTATCCACTGATTTTTAATGTTACTACGATATTACCTCATCTTAATGTAGTGTTGTGCGTCGTCGATATGTCAAATATCGATAGGTACCTACATAAATTTTGTTTTATCACATGTTTTTCGTTACATAAACAAATCGTTGTTTACAATAATGTGGTCTATTATGTCGCATATTATTTTGTTTGTAAACTAAAAGCATTGTGCCAAGTACTTAATTAGCGTACATTATTTATATGACATGAGGAAAATTACACGGATAATAGGTTTGTAAAACAAATAAATATTTTTGATACAGAAAAAAGAAACAAAAAGGGTTGATTATGTATGATCTAAGAAATTTCTACATATTCCAGTTGAGTAGATAAGTTGCTAAATTCAAAGGAAAAAGTTTTTAACATCACTAGTAATGGCGTTGCGCAGACAGTTCACTAAAATGTCGAAAGAAAGTGAACGCAATAGCCGGCGACAACGAACATGCTGCTAGCAGTTTGGTTGGTTCAGGCAGTATGCTCAGATGCCTTGGCCTCGGCGCTCGCACAAAACGCGGGAAGCGGATGACGCGCGAAATTCCATTTTGTAAACGCGAAACGTGAAATAAAATTCAATTAAATACATAATTAATATGTAATGAATAAAGCTTGTCCTGAATAATAAATAAATAAACTTTTTAAGTGACAATTTGTACTTGGACTTTGTGATTTAGTAAAAATGAATTTGTCAGGTGAAGCTAGTAATGGGCCGCGTGTTTTGACCGCTCGTCACATAAGTGCGGACATATCCCTTCCCGAAACGAACAATGAAATAAATTCCACCCTCCTGTGCCACAGTTATGATCTAGATCCTGACTTTGAAACCTATTTTGCAGGTAAATTATGTTGAGATAATAGATATTTATTACTGAGTTACCGGTATTAATGTTACTTAGATAATTTTGCATGTTATCTATTTGAAGCGGAGTATTAAGTCTAAGAATATTTAATTTTATTTTACTTCTTTATGTAAACTGTTCTTTATAGGTAATATTTTTTTTAATAATATTGTGAATCTAAGTGTTAATTTTTTTATTGCATGTAGGTACTACCTAGTCAAAATGCAATGCATAAAAGTTATATTTTGATTTTTTTATTATCTACAGATCCTTAATAAAAATTGCCAAGTTAAGACTAAGAGATCAAAGAAAGGCAAGAACATTAAGTTGTTATTCGCAGATAACTTAACGGGTAACCGGGGCGACGTGCAGGAGAAGGAACGGGGTGGTTTTTAGTCAGTAAGAGTCTGACACTCCCTCCCGTCTCACCCAGGCGGGAGCAGTCATTCGATGATTTTTCCCCCTTAAAAAAATAAAAAAAAATACTGACACACATAATTATATTTTAGACACATTTTTTATGAAAAACTCATCATATTATCCACCAAACACACTAACTAAAACATAATTAGGCATCGTGAAATAGGCCCTAAAAATACAAAATAACTTGTAGATATACCTACCCACGAGGTTTATCGACACACATTTAGAAATAGCATAGATTCCCACGATAGCTAAGCTTATCTCGATGTATGTACATAATAACCAAATAAATAATAACTCATGTAGGTAAGTACAAGTTCCTACGTCAATGTGTATTTCCGTTCAATTAAGTACGTATTTACTTTATTTAATTTCACCTAATTATTCCTAATAAACTAGGAGTCTAGCGGCGGATTTGTTTGAAAAATCATATATATTTACCAAAATCCTGTCTCTAAACTGGGCCTTAAAATGTCTTTACAAATAACCAAAAATAGTTTTCATCATCAATATCAGTCGGAATACATAAACTGCTGAAAAAAGACATCTCTTTTCGGAGGGAGATTGCCATAACTCCCACGCTTGGTAGTCGAAGAAAATACTCTTAACTCTGTTAAAATAAGTAGTTTTAATAAAGCTAAAAATAACAACGTCGATGTTCATTAAAGATTTTGAAATCGCTTGCATCCTATTTTTAGCCCTTACGTATATGCAAGAATAGCCAGATAAATCAAGGAGATAAATGTCTGCATGTGGTCCCATCAGTAAAATCCATACCAAAACAATTAACTAAGTAAGTCATAGGGGTCTTAGGTAGTCATAGAGAGAAGAGAATGCTGTTGCCATAATGATATTATCACCATCATCATCATGAGCCCGTTTTCGTCCGTTGTTGGACATACTATACAGGGTGGAATTTTGTAATGCCACCTGAAGGTCAAGTACCTACTGTTAAATATACTTAAGATAGAAAATTTTACTCAAAGAAAACATTCCTTTATTTTTGAAAAGTAAGAAATTTGCATTCAAAGATTTTTAAAATTCGCTTGCCGCACACGGTAATCGAACCGACTAAAATCTGTAAAAGTTGCACCTGAACATCTATTGCATCGATTGTTAATGATAAGGATGAAATCTCTCTAACAAACTTCATAATTTTAATGAAAGGAAAACAATGAACAATCGATGCAATGAAGTCGGTTATAAAAGTACAGGGTGCAAACTTTGACAGACTAGTTCGATTACCGTGCGAGGCAAGCTAATTTTTAAAAACCTTTGCAAGCTGTTTTGTTTCTTTTCAAAAATAAAGGAATGTTTTCTTTGAGAAAGATTTTCTATCTTAAGTATTAAGAGTAGGTACTTCCCCTTCAGGTGGCATCACAAAATTCCACTCTGTATAGGCCTACACATCATTGAGGTCGTATAGATACTTAAACTTAACTTTAGACTTGTCATAAAACGATTAAAGATACGAAACGAAGAAAATAGAAAAAAACAACAGTGCTATAAAATAAATCATAATAATCTTAAAACATAATAATTAATGTAAAGCAACAATTTCCTACAAAGAACAACGATAAATAAAAATAATAAAAAGAGCGTTCCCTCATTTTATAGGGTTACTTGACTTATAAAGTTCAAGGGAATCATTTAAAGTATTTATGAGATAAAACACAATCGAGTTACTGCTTTATCTTGTCCTTTTATTTAAGTTAAAGTAGCGACGATTTCTGCAAAGTAAAATAGACCTACATTGCAATTGCAAAATGTAGGCAAGTAATGACAGACTATTATAAAAATAAGCCGGGTCCTTGAAGGACGTAATTTGTACACCACATTAAAGTTGATTTTAGAATGTTGTGAAGTTGTGCAGGCGTAAAGTCCAAGCGTGATTAAGCTCCGTCACCGTTAGTCACACGCGCACTGGTATTACAATTTAAAATCACGCAACTGTAGGCTTTGTATGTTATTAACATTTTGATGTCGCTGATACTAGGAATATTTATAGTGCCTGACATACGGATGATACAGAGACCATGTATTTTTTTTATAATATGATTTTCAACTAAAGCTTTTCACTGTTTACTGCCTACTAATTTATTGGATTAACAGCTATTCTTTCAGTCATAAAAGGTGGTAAAATTAGTGCGTTCACTCCTAGGATTCATAAAAATTAAGCATGTTGATTGTTGATATTGTCAACTATAATAGGATATATCGAAGGAACCGTATTAATTTTCAATTAAAACGACTTTACAGTTGTCCAAACAATGACAGTGTGCCATGACCTGACTTAGGAATACTACTTGTACTCGGAAAGTTAGCAAATATATATACGTCATTGATAAGATTTTCAGGTATTAAACTTGTATTTAATTAAACTGTAACTGTTTATGCAGATGTCTCTAGAACATTTGGCATATCTTGGTGCCATCAGATATCTTTGTCTTTTAAGCATACCTACTTACACTTGTGTCAACTTTATTGTGAAAATACAAATATAATCGTTATTGTGAAAAATTAGGACAATATTAATTATATTTGTTTGAGTAACGCGAAAATTGGGGTTAAGACAAGCGAAATCGACTCCCATCGATATAATCACTTTTTTGTATGGAAAGTTTTGTTGATTTAATTTGACGATGATAAATAGGAGTAGTACCTAAATATAGTTTAAATAAATCAGTCTAGAGTCAGAATAGAGTTCCATTTTTTCTTAACTCATGTGAACGTAAGTTACTGAAAAAATAATAAATGTATTACAAAAATAGTACCTACTGAGATCTTTTTATTGTTTTCAAACCGAGTGTCCATACCATAGATATTTTTGTGGTCCATACAATGTTTTTCTACGCCTGTCTGCAACTTCTTCAAGTCATTGTCACACGTAATAGCTTTCCAATCCCATACGTCCGTATATCGCGGAACAAGAAACATTATTTTCGAAGTGCCTAATAACTTCCTATAGCGAGCATGGCATGTTATTGAGAAAACCGTCACTATCACCATGGAGAATATTGTTTTTGCAAATAATAATAATAATAATAACTTTATTCACCAAAAATAAAAGAAGTTACACAGTTTAAAACATATGAGCCAGTAACAGATTTCATATATGTATACAGTTATTGTGTCCTTGCTGTAGCCTCTGTTGCTGAACTAGGTTCATGACCTGTGTTTCAGCAATCAGAAAAAAATTAAATTAATGTACTTATTTACAAAAAATCTAACACAATGAAGTTAGTCTTTGCAGGTGCTGTTGGTAAACTAGTCCGAAACAGTATTCAGTTCGCTTTTGTTTACAGAGTGAGGTTGAGGAGATTTTACGTAGATAGAGCTTGTGGAAATAGTTTTTTGCTTTCTGAGAAAATATCCTTTGTATCCTTTGTTCGTAAACAAAAGTTCGAGTCAGCTAATATGGACTGAACGAAGAAACACAGTGAACAGTAAACATCTATCCCTAAAATGCTTTTGTTTAAATACATACATATAGGTAGGTAGGTACATAACCTCGCACCTGTTTCCCATGGGGGTAGGCAGAGACTATGGAACACCAGTTGCGACGGTTTTTGCCTCTTTCGCTTCCTGAAATAGTCATCAGTCATTGCAGTCGGTTAAGAGTACTTTTAATTTGCCCATTCTTTAATATATCGCCGATTAGAGATTACTATTTAAAGACTTTTGGTTATTATACATATGTATAATGATCATTGTGATCCCCATTCTCAGCTTTGGTAATTATGGCAATAACATCTATAATTACGTCGATTGCAATACACTGCAAGTGTTACGTAGAACTCAGAGGCCTATGGGTACGTGGTTGCAATAGTTGCAATGCGCTCTTTAAGCCCAGCAACGCAACGCATGGTGGAAAGTTGCATAACTTTCATACTCACCTTAATTGCACATGTGTGAACGATCCTATTGCTTACATTTGCAATAAAATGTAGCAAGCACTTTATTGTTACCAGAAAGAGCAATACAAAAACTGTTTTGGTACATTAACCCATATAATGATAATAGATTTATTGGTAGAAATGGTAACTAGATAGGTACCGATTGCCTAGTAGCCATTTCTACAATAGGTAAATAGCTATGTACTACCTATATGGAGTTCCAGATATTCCACTTCCAAATTTGTGAAAATTTTATTGATGACTTTATTTGATGAATTTTATTTTATTTATTTCTTATTTAATACGAAAATATCTATATTTAATAGTGGGACTCCGAGTAACACCGTATTTTTTATTAAATTAATACCGCTTTAATTAGCTATTGATTAGTAAACAGTCCTATTTTATGTCAAACAAACTTATTAATTATTGTTTCCATTAATTACAATTCACTGCCATATCTATTTAGTTTGCACGAAGTCGTTTCCCTGAAGTCAATTTGGCCAATTGCGGTCCTGATTGAGACAAGATCTTTGTAATTAAGACTAAATCATTAATTAAACGCGCTTCATACTTGAATGTGATGTTTGCTAAACTACAATAATTCAATGTCAGAGTCATTGTCTTCATTATTTATTTTATTGTCTGTTATAAAAATAATATTGGCTGACTAGGTTC